ATATTTAATATATTTGATAAGAATAAAATTTATCAATTTTTTTTATAAGGTTGTTTAGATTATTGCACTAAACCCATCATTGCTTATTATTAGATATTTTGGTAGGAAGCTGGTTAAACTTATTGTACTTGAAATCCTTATGCAGAAAACATTGAATTGACTCCTTATTGTTGATAATTATTACTAATCATTTAACACATTTATTTTTGTCCAAATAAATTATATGATTATCTTTCTGATGCTTGTTTGGCTTATTACAAATCTTAAATAATTCCACCACATTGAGCAGCAACATTTTAATTTTTCTAAATTTGTATTAACATATTATCAATCAGCTTTTAAGCATCTTCATTTTTATTTTATTCACATGCCTTTCTTGCTTGATCAATAACTTCTGTTCCTTTTACTCTAAAATATTAAGCATAGACATCGATATCTTATTCATTCTGATTAATTTATTCATCAAGATTAAAAAAAGTTAATGTGATACTATCTTATTTTTTAATAACATTTCCATTTGTAGGATCTCTAATAATTAATTGTGCATCAATAACTTTAACATTCCTTTAACTATCTTCAATTTTTGCTTCAAATTATGGAAGTAACAATTCAAAAACATAATCTTTTCTAGATCCAGAAGCTAGTTAAGGTTAAGTGATTTAATATTAATTTCCTTTTTTCTTCCACATATTCCCATAAGTTTTGGATATTTAAATGTTTTAATAAGGAGCAGGTGCCGAAGAGGAAATATTAATTTCTAAATTTTCACCAACAACTGAAATAAGCCCACCCAAAGCATCTGCAAAGAATTCATCCAATAATGTAACATCTTAGACAAAATAAAAACTTCCACTTTTTAAATTACAAATTGATGTCATCATTGGAGCATCATGATCTTATCCAAAACCAAAAGTATGCAATGTAAAAATTTCATTTACTGATTTTATTTAAGTTTATATTGCTGGAAAGGTATAATCAACACCATCAGAAAGCAAGAAAATGGATGTTACATTATTAACATATTTTCGTTATTTTAATTATTAAAATGCCATTTTTGTGGCTTCAGAAATTTGATTACCTCCGTAAGCTTAAATAGATTTAATAATTTAAGTGAAATAATCTTTATTCTGTAATGTCACTCGCTTCAAGGGAGTCAATTTGTGAGCTTCATTATCAAAAGTAATTAATTGTAGCCTATCATTATCTCCCAAAAATTAGAGTAAGATAATTAAAGATTATTTAACCATTTCAATTTTAATTCCTATCATACTACCACTAATATCAATTAAACAAATCTAATGAATATAAAAATATAATTACCAAATCTACTCCAACTCTTCCATTTTTATCATTTTCTGAAATAATTTTTTCTTATGCTTTAATGCTAACTATTCCAGGTAAGTATTGTGATTTAGTATTGAGTAATTTACCCATTTTATATAAAGCCTTGACTTCAAAAGAAATTTTCTCATTTAAATTATATTCATTAGATTATTTAACTTACTCTTTTTTAGGTTCAATCATTTCGTCATCATCATATTTTATCTTAAAATTATCATATTGAACATCGGGTATTCCAAATAAACTAGATTGACTCTAAACTAGTTATTATGGTGCTTATTAATAATTAAATGGTGATCCAAATAAATTTTAATTTAAAGGATTAATCTGATTTTATTAATACATTCCTAAATTTGCATTAGAATATTGTTATTATTAAGAAAAAGGATTGAATTAAATTTAAAATTATTATTAGGGTGGTTAACTTGAATTAATAGAACCTCCAAACCTATTTTAATTAGAATGTGGTGTTGGAAATACTTCTTAAAATTATGAGTATTATTATAATGCTACTACTGGAATTTAAGGATTTAGAGGTATTTAAGATTATGGAATTTATTAGAATGGGTTATTCTGCTCAATTAGTTTTTACTCAATTGGTTTTTACTCAATTGGTTTTTGCTCAATTGGTTTCTGCTCTTATTATTTTTGTTAGTTTGATTAATTATCAAAAAGTGATTAAACTTGCTGTTCTTGATCCATGATTTTGTTGAATAAATTTTAAATAATTTAAAAACTATTATTATTATGTTCTTTTGAATAATATTAAATTTGATTAAATCTGATAGCTAATTCTATAATTAATAATTGAAAACCAACAAAAAATTTTATTTCAATTAAAACTTATTCAAAATTTTTCGTTATAAATAAAAGAGCTACATTAATAAATAATTTCTTTTAAAATGAGCATTAATCTAGAGAAATTTTAATATTATTATTATATACATAGATTAATTTTTTATATCAATAATAAATCATTTACTTATTATAGAAAGTTTATTGCTAAAAATATAAAACATTTATTTTGACCAATCTATTTAAAGTAAAAAGTAAATTTGAATAACTTTAGCATTAGTACTTAGGCTTTATTTATCAAAAGTATAGTCTTTGAAAAGATCATTAATTTCTTTTTCCATTTAAACTTATTTAAAGACCCCTAAAACGTGTTAAAGATTAAATTAAAGAGTACAATAACAAAGAATAATGAAACTTGCATCTTCTATTATAATAATGATAAAAATTATTGGTTTTGGGCTAGTTTAATGCGTTTCATAATCATTAATAAAAAATTGTGGTTATTAGTTTCCAGTGAGGAAAATGAAAAATCTTTATAATCTCCCTCTTCCCTACTTGATTAGAGAAATATATGTTTTTGAAAAAATAATTTAAAAATGAGGAAAAATATTTTGAGCTATGAGTTATTTGCGGATTTTTATTCCTATCAGCTCATTTTAAACATATTGTTTTTTAAGTTTATTTAAGCAAATTTGATTAGGAATTTAGGAGAGATAATAAAACTATTTGGATTTTTTATAATTATTCTAAGTTTATGGGTTCATTTTCAATAATTTTTGATAACTCCCCTTGATTTACCTCTTTTGTATTTATCATCTCTTTATCCAAAACAGTTTCATTCCTTCACTCTAATTGATAAATGGTAATGATAAAAATCAAAATTAATTTGTCTAAAATGTAATAGGTCATTTTGCATAAAAGATTTTTTTTGGCATTGCAACTTAAGGGGAAGAGAACAATGAAAAAAAAAAGGAAGCAGTTAAGCATTTATGGATATTCACTTTAATCATCAAAAAAAAATTATATTTTAATTTTTAATTAATTTGAATATCTCAAGACCTCTTCAAGATTAAATATTATTAGTTTCTTCTCCAAAAATTATTAGGCATTCTCTTATAATTTTTTTAGATTCTCCTCTATCTTTTCCACCTTTATTAACTTTTTGACTCATTGCTTTTGGTAGGAATGAAATCATATTTATCTTTTTGAGCTTTTGTAACTTTTTACAAAAGATTTCTTTAATTATCAATATATTTTTGCAATTTAACAAAAATTAAATATACTAATTTAATTTTGAGGAAGATAATGTTCCAATTATCACAAGATACGAAATTTAAAATTAGTTCTCATTTCTCAGTGCTAATTTTATTTTTAGAGGAGTATTCATTGAAAAATTTATCCAATTAGAGTAGAGTAAAGGATATCTATTTTGGCATAGCAAATGTTAAGCTCTCAAAAAAAGGGACATTTCTGATGAGTTTGATAGAAAACTTATATCAAAGATACCCTAAAATTCTTTTAAAATAATATCTAAAATTAACTATTCAAAAACATTAATTATTAAGAAAAATTCCATCTTTGATTGTTTTACCTAAAACTTATTGCGATTCTTTTTTTTAATGAGTGCAGGCTGCCCCCAGATGAGGTTTAGTAATTGAAGAAATCACAATTATTTGCTTTTTATTATGGTAAATTTCGTGCAAGTACCCTTTGATGAAATTAATATATAAATTATTAATAAAATTTTTTAAAATTCTGATAGCACCAAATTTTATCTATCTATAGTTAAATTATTATATTCAGCTGTGAATGCTAAAATTTAGGTCAACCCTGCCTTTTGCATAAAAAGAGAAAAAGGTAGTCAAAGAACAGATTTTGATGCTAAGTATCACTGGATAAATTAATTCAAAAAGTGGACTAAATGGTTAGTCAAAAATTTAGTTCAAAATTACGAACAAAATCTAACTACTACTTTTTTATTAATAAAATCATAATTTCTAAAGATATCATTGGATCAATAGTTTGATTAAATGCTTTCTAAACATAGGAATTTAAACATAATTTTAAGACTAAGTGAAGCAATACTGAACATTATAAATTGTCTTACGTAAATCATCAAGAGAAACTAAAAAACTAGGAGTAAATATCTTCTGCCTTTCTTGCTTAGATAGTTAAAGCAAGCAACTAAATTTCCACCTGCACTATCTCCTACTAATACAACTCTTAAAGGAATAACTTTAAAGAACTTTTGGATAAAAGTAATGATGAACATATATGCCTTTCAACTATCGTTTAATCCTTCAGGATATGGATGATCTGGCCATTTTATAATCAATAGAAAAGAGTGGGACTCTTAAATCATTAGCCCATTTTCTAGTATAAGTTTAATGTGATCTTGATGACATAGCAACAAAACCTCCTCCATCTATACTATTTATAATTTATGTATGTGGATAATTATCTTATCAAAATTGTGCTCTCTACTTCTATCATTTTTAAACATCGACATGAATCCCTCAAACCTTTAAATTACCGAGTTTCATTACATAAAATCCTCACCTAATCTCTATATTAATTTAAATCATTTTCCAACAAAATATCTAATGATGTTAATTCATTTGGAAAATATATTAAAATCATTATAATTTTTATTTATAAACTCTAAAAACCTGATTAGGGTTTAGAAAAAAAAAGAATGATTTTTCTCACTTTTCATTCAATTCTTTAAAAAAAAGATTTTGATATAAATTTAATAGAATTTTCTTAAATTATTATTTTTATAACAAAATATAAAAGATACATAATGATTTTCTGATTCAAAAAATAAAATTATATTTAATATATTTGATAAGAATAAAATTTATCAATTTTTTTTATAAGGTTGTTTAGATTATTGCACTAAACCCATCATTGCTTATTATTAGATATTTTGGTAGGAAGCTGGTTAAACTTATTGTACTTGAAATCCTTATGCAGAAAACATAGAATTGACTCCTTATTGTTGATAATTATTACTAACCATTTAACACATTTATTTTTATCCAAATAAATTATATGATTATCTTTCTGATGCTTGTTTGGCTTATTACAAATCTTAAATAATTCCACCACATTGAGCAGCAACATTTTAATTTTTCTAAATTTGTATTAACATATTATCAATCAGCTTTTAAGCATCTTCATTTTTATTTTATTCACATGCCTTTCTTGCTTGATCAATAACTTCTGTTCCTTTTACTCTAAAATATTAAGCATAGACATCGATATCTTATTCATTCTGATTAATTTATTCATCAAGATTAAAAAAAGTTAATGTGAGACTATCTTATTTTTTAATAACATTTCCATTTGTAGGATCTCTAATAATTAATTGTGCATCAATAACTTTAACATTCCTTTAACTATCTTCAATTTTTGCTTCAAATTATGGAAGTAACAATTCAAAAACATAATCTTTTCTAGATCCAGTAGCTAGTTAAGGTTAAGTGATTTATAAAATTAAATTTCTCAAGAATAAATTCTCAAGTCACGAGAAATTGTTCATTAGGGTAACCATTTTAAGAATAATGACAAATTTTTAATGAATTTTAATCGTAATGAAATTGTTGGTTTTTCTAAAATTTATTAAAGAATAAGTGATCAGATTTTAATCAAATTAATATTATTCAAAGAACATAATAAAAAATAAATTCTAAATTATTTAAAAATTTATTCAACACTATTATGAATCAACAACAGCAAGTTTAATTACCTTTTACATATTAATCAGTCTAACAATAATAATAAGTGCAGAATCTAATTTAGCCAAATAACCTATAATAATACTTTCAATTATCTGAATTACATCAAGAATTTTCGCCTCCTAAAGTGGCATGTTAAGCCGCACCCTAAGTCAAGGCAGCATTTCCACCATCACATTCTAATTAAAATAGATTTGGAGTTCCTTTTAATTCAAATTAATCACTATAATAATATTTTCCACCCTAAAAATCAAATTAAACTTAAGTGCCTCTTCTTTTTATATCTAAACCATATTCTAAAGTAAATTTTGGAAAGTGTTAATAAAATCCGATTAATCCTCAAACAAATCCATAAAATTCATATAGCAATTAAAATTAGTTTGGATTCCCAATAACTTATTAATAAGCACCATAATAACCTGCTTAAAGTCAATCTAATTTAATTGGTATGGTTGATCTTCAATATGATAAAATTAAATATGATGACGATGAAATGATTGTACCTAAATAAGAATAAGTTAAATAATCTAATGAATATAATTTAAATGAGAAAATTTCTTTTGAAGTCAAGGCTTTATATAAAATGGGTAAATTACTCAATACTAAATCACAATACTTACCTGGAATAGTTAGCATTAAAGCATAAGAAAAAATTATTTCAGAAAATGATAAAAATGGAAGAGTTGGAGTAGATTTGGTAATTATATTTTTATATTCATTAGATTTGTTTAATTGATATTAGTGGTAGTATGATAGGAATTAAAATTGAAATGGTTAAATAATCTTTAATTATCTTACTCTAATTTTTGGGAGATAATGATAGGCTACAATTAATTACTTTTGATAATGAAGCTCACAAATTGACTCCCTTGAAGCGAGTGACATTACAGAATAAAGATTATTTCACTTAAATTATTAAATCTATTTAAGCTTACGGAGGTAATCAAATTTCTGAAGCCACAAAAATGGCATTTTAATAATTAAAATAACGAAAATATGTTAATAATGTAACATCCATTTTCTTGCTTTCTGATGGTGTTGATTATACCTTTCCAGCAATATAAACTTAAATAAAATCAGTAAATGAAATTTTTACATTGCATACTTTTGGTTTTGGATAAGATCATGATGCTCCAATGATGACATCAATTTGTAATTTAAAAAGTGGAAGTTTTTATTTTGTCTAAGATGTTACATTATTGGATGAATTCTTTGCAGATGCTTTGGGTGGGCTTATTTCAGTTGTTGGTGAAAATTTAGAAATTAATATTTCCTCTTCGGCACCTGCTCCTTATTAAAATATTTAAATATCCAAAACTTATGGGAATATGTGGAATAAAAAAGGAAATTAATATTAAATCACTTAACCTTAACTAGCTACTGGATCTAGAAAAGATTATGTTTTTGAATTGTTACTTCCATAATTTGAAGCAAAAATTGAAGATAGTTAAAGGAATGTTAAAGTTATTGATGCACAATTAATTATTAGAGATCCTACAAATGGAAATGTTATTAAAAAATAAGATAGTCTCACATTAACTTTTTTTAATCTTGATGAATAAATTAATCAGAATGAATAAGATATCGATGTCTATGCTTAATATTTTAGAGTAAAAGGAACAGAAGTTATTGATCAAGCAAGAAAGGCATGTGAATAAAATAAAAATGAAGATGCTTAAAAGCTGATTGATAATATGTTAATACAAATTTAGAAAAATTAAAATGTTGCTGCTCAATGTGGTGGAATTATTTAAGATTTGTAATAAGCCAAACAAGCATCAGAAAGATAATCATATAATTTATTTGGATAAAAATAAATGTGTTAAATGGTTAGTAATAATTATCAACAATAAGGAGTCAATTCTATGTTTTCTGCATAAGGATTTCAAGTACAATAAGTTTAACCAGCTTCCTACCAAAATATCTAATAATAAGCAATGATGGGTTTAGTGCAATAATCTAAACAACCTTATAAAAAAAATTGATAAATTTTATTCTTATCAAATATATTAAATATAATTTTATTTTTTGAATCAGAAAATCATTATGTATCTTTTATATTTTGTTATAAAAATAATAATTTAAGAAAATTCTATTAAATTTATATCAAAATCTTTTTTTTAAAGAATTGAATGAAAAGTGAGAAAAATCATTCTTTTTTTTTCTAAACCCTAATCAGGTTTTTAGAGTTTATAAATAAAAATTATAATGATTTTAATATATTTTCCAAATGAATTAACATCATTAGATATTTTGTTGGAAAATGATTTAAATTAATATAGAGATTAGGTGAGGATTTTATGTAATGAAACTCGGTAATTTAAAGGTTTGAGGGATTCATGTCGATGTTTAAAAATGATAGAAGTAGAGAGCACAATTTTGATAAGATAATTATCCACATACATAAATTATAAATAGTATAGATGGAGGAGGTTTTGTTGCTATGTCATCAAGATCACATTAAACTTATACTAGAAAATGGGCTAATGATTTAAGAGTCCCACTCTTTTCTATTGATTATAAAATGGCCAGATCATCCATATCCTGAAGGATTAAACGATAGTTGAAAGGCATATATGTTCATCATTACTTTTATCCAAAAGTTCTTTAAAGTTATTCCTTTAAGAGTTGTATTAGTAGGAGATAGTGCAGGTGGAAATTTAGTTGCTTGCTTTAACTATCTAAGCAAGAAAGGCAGAAGATATTTACTCCTAGTTTTTTAGTTTCTCTTGATGATTTACGTAAGACAATTTATAATGTTCAGTATTGCTTCACTTAGTCTTAAAATTATGTTTAAATTCCTATGTTTAGAAAGCATTTAATCAAACTATTGATCCAATGATATCTTTAGAAATTATGATTTTATTAATAAAAAAGTAGTAGTTAGATTTTGTTCGTAATTTTGAACTAAATTTTTGACTAACCATTTAGTCCACTTTTTGAATTAATTTATCCAGTGATACTTAGCATCAAAATCTGTTCTTTGACTACCTTTTTCTCTTTTTATGCAAAAGGCAGGGTTGACCTAAATTTTAGCATTCACAGCTGAATATAATAATTTAACTATAGATAGATAAAATTTGGTGCTATCAGAATTTTAAAAAATTTTATTAATAATTTATATATTAATTTCATCAAAGGGTACTTGCACGAAATTTACCATAATAAAAAGCAAATAATTGTGATTTCTTCAATTACTAAACCTCATCTGGGGGCAGCCTGCACTCATTAAAAAAAAGAATCGCAATAAGTTTTAGGTAAAACAATCAAAGATGGAATTTTTCTTAATAATTAATGTTTTTGAATAGTTAATTTTAGATATTATTTTAAAAGAATTTTAGGGTATCTTTGATATAAGTTTTCTATCAAACTCATCAGAAATGTCCCTTTTTTTGAGAGCTTAACATTTGCTATGCCAAAATAGATATCCTTTACTCTACTCTAATTGGATAAATTTTTCAATGAATACTCCTCTAAAAATAAAATTAGCACTGAGAAATGAGAACTAATTTTAAATTTCGTATCTTGTGATAATTGGAACATTATCTTCCTCAAAATTAAATTAGTATATTTAATTTTTGTTAAATTGCAAAAATATATTGATAATTAAAGAAATCTTTTGTAAAAAGTTACAAAAGCTCAAAAAGATAAATATGATTTCATTCCTACCAAAAGCAATGAGTCAAAAAGTTAATAAAGGTGGAAAAGATAGAGGAGAATCTAAAAAAATTATAAGAGAATGCCTAATAATTTTTGGAGAAGAAACTAATAATATTTAATCTTGAAGAGGTCTTGAGATATTCAAATTAATTAAAAATTAAAATATAATTTTTTTTTGATGATTAAAGTGAATATCCATAAATGCTTAACTGCTTCCTTTTTTTTTTCATTGTTCTCTTCCCCTTAAGTTGCAATGCCAAAAAAAATCTTTTATGCAAAATGACCTATTACATTTTAGACAAATTAATTTTGATTTTTATCATTACCATTTATCAATTAGAGTGAAGGAATGAAACTGTTTTGGATAAAGAGATGATAAATACAAAAGAGGTAAATCAAGGGGAGTTATCAAAAATTATTGAAAATGAACCCATAAACTTAGAATAATTATAAAAAATCCAAATAGTTTTATTATCTCTCCTAAATTCCTAATCAAATTTGCTTAAATAAACTTAAAAAACAATATGTTTAAAATGAGCTGATAGGAATAAAAATCCGCAAATAACTCATAGCTCAAAATATTTTTCCTCATTTTTAAATTATTTTTTCAAAAACATATATTTCTCTAATCAAGTAGGGAAGAGGGAGATTATAAAGATTTTTCATTTTCCTCACTGGAAACTAATAACCACAATTTTTTATTAATGATTATGAAACGCATTAAACTAGCCCAAAACCAATAATTTTTATCATTATTATAATAGAAGATGCAAGTTTCATTATTCTTTGTTATTGTACTCTTTAATTTAATCTTTAACACGTTTTAGGGGTCTTTAAATAAGTTTAAATGGAAAAAGAAATTAATGATCTTTTCAAAGACTATACTTTTGATAAATAAAGCCTAAGTTCTAATGCTAAAGTTATTCAAATTTACTTTTTACTTTAAATAGATTGGTCAAAATAAATGTTTTATATTTTTAGCAATAAACTTTCTATAATAAGTAAATGATTTATTATTGATATAAAAAATTAATCTATGTATATAATAATAATATTAAAATTTCTCTAGATTAATGCTCATTTTAAAAGAAATTATTTATTAATGTAGCTCTTTTATTTATAACGAAAAATTTTGAATAAGTTTTAATTGAAATAAAATTTTTTGTTGGTTTTCAATTATTAATTATAGAATTAGCTATCAGATTTAATCAAATTTAATATTATTCAAAAGAACATAATAATAATAGTTTTTAAATTATTTAAAATTTATTCAACAAAATCATGGATCAAGAACAGCAAGTTTAATCACTTTTTGATAATTAATCAAACTAACAAAAATAATAAGAGCAGAAACCAATTGAGCAAAAACCAATTGAGTAAAAACCAATTGAGTAAAAACCAATTGAAAATTTAAGAAAATTCTATTAAATTTATATCAAAATCTTTTTTTTAAAGAATTGAATGAAAAGTGAGAAAAATCATTCTTTTTTTTTCTAAACCCTAATCAGGTTTTTAGAGTTTATAAATAAAAATTATAATGATTTTAATATATTTTCCAAATGAATTAACATCATTAGATATTTTGTTGGAAAATGATTTAAATTAATATAGAGATTAGGTGAGGATTTTATGTAATGAAACTCGGTAATTTAAAGGTTTGAGGGATTCATGTCGATGTTTAAAAATGATAGAAGTAGAGAGCACAATTTTGATAAGATAATTATCCACATACATAAATTATAAATAGTATAGATGGAGGAGGTTTTGTTGCTATGTCATCAAGATCACATTAAACTTATACTAGAAAATGGGCTAATGATTTAAGAGTCCCACTCTTTTCTATTGATTATAAAATGGCCAGATCATCCATATCCTGAAGGATTAAACGATAGTTGAAAGGCATATATGTTCATCATTACTTTTATCCAAAAGTTCTTTAAAGTTATTCCTTTAAGAGTTGTATTAGTAGGAGATAGTGCAGGTGGAAATTTAGTTGCTTGCTTTAACTATCTAAGCAAGAAAGGCAGAAGATATTTACTCCTAGTTTTTTAGTTTCTCTTGATGATTTACGTAAGACAATTTATAATGTTCAGTATTGCTTCACTTAGTCTTAAAATTATGTTTAAATTCCTATGTTTAGAAAGCATTTAATCAAACTATTGATCCAATGATATCTTTAGAAATTATGATTTTATTAATAAAAAAGTAGTAGTTAGATTTTGTTCGTAATTTTGAACTAAATTTTTGACTAACCATTTAGTCCACTTTTTGAATTAATTTATCCAGTGATACTTAGCATCAAAATCTGTTCTTTGACTACCTTTTTCTCTTTTTATGCAAAAGGCAGGGTTGACCTAAATTTTAGCATTCACAGCTGAATATAATAATTTAACTATAGATAGATAAAATTTGGTGCTATCAGAATTTTAAAAAATTTTATTAATAATTTATATATTAATTTCATCAAAGGGTACTTGCACGAAATTTACCATAATAAAAAGCAAATAATTGTGATTTCTTCAATTACTAAACCTCATCTGGGGGCAGCCTGCACTCATTAAAAAAAAGAATCGCAATAAGTTTTAGGTAAAACAATCAAAGATGGAATTTTTCTTAATAATTAATGTTTTTGAATAGTTAATTTTAGATATTATTTTAAAAGAATTTTAGGGTATCTTTGATATAAGTTTTCTATCAAACTCATCAGAAATGTCCCTTTTTTTGAGAGCTTAACATTTGCTATGCCAAAATAGATATCCTTTACTCTACTCTAATTGGATAAATTTTTCAATGAATACTCCTCTAAAAATAAAATTAGCACTGAGAAATGAGAACTAATTTTAAATTTCGTATCTTGTGATAATTGGAACATTATCTTCCTCAAAATTAAATTAGTATATTTAATTTTTGTTAAATTGCAAAAATATATTGATAATTAAAGAAATCTTTTGTAAAAAGTTACAAAAGCTCAAAAAGATAAATATGATTTCATTCCTACCAAAAGCAATGAGTCAAAAAGTTAATAAAGGTGGAAAAGATAGAGGAGAATCTAAAAAAATTATAAGAGAATGCCTAATAATTTTTGGAGAAGAAACTAATAATATTTAATCTTGAAGAGGTCTTGAGATATTCAAATTAATTAAAAATTAAAATATAATTTTTTTTTGATGATTAAAGTGAATATCCATAAATGCTTAACTGCTTCCTTTTTTTTTTCATTGTTCTCTTCCCCTTAAGTTGCAATGCCAAAAAAAATCTTTTATGCAAAATGACCTATTACATTTTAGACAAATTAATTTTGATTTTTATCATTACCATTTATCAATTAGAGTGAAGGAATGAAACTGTTTTGGATAAAGAGATGATAAATACAAAAGAGGTAAATCAAGGGGAGTTATCAAAAATTATTGAAAATGAACCCATAAACTTAGAATAATTATAAAAAATCCAAATAGTTTTATTATCTCTCCTAAATTCCTAATCAAATTTGCTTAAATAAACTTAAAAAACAATATGTTTAAAATGAGCTGATAGGAATAAAAATCCGCAAATAACTCATAGCTCAAAATATTTTTCCTCATTTTTAAATTATTTTTTCAAAAACATATATTTCTCTAATCAAGTAGGGAAGAGGGAGATTATAAAGATTTTTCATTTTCCTCACTGGAAACTAATAACCACAATTTTTTATTAATGATTATGAAACGCATTAAACTAGCCCAAAACCAATAATTTTTATCATTATTATAATAGAAGATGCAAGTTTCATTATTCTTTGTTATTGTACTCTTTAATTTAATCTTTAACACGTTTTAGGGGTCTTTAAATAAGTTTAAATGGAAAAAGAAATTAATGATCTTTTCAAAGACTATACTTTTGATAAATAAAGCCTAAGTACTAATGCTAAAGTTATTCAAATTTACTTTTTACTTTAAATAGATTGGTCAAAATAAATGTTTTATATTTTTAGCAATAAACTTTCTATAATAAGTAAATGATTTATTATTGATATAAAAAATTAATCTATGTATATAATAATAATATTAAAATTTCTCTAGATTAATGCTCATTTTAAAAGAAATTATTTATTAATGTAGCTCTTTTATTTATAACGAAAAATTTTGAATAAGTTTTAATTGAAATAAAATTTTTTGTTGGTTTTCAATTATTAATTATAGAATTAGCTATCAGATTTAATCAAATTTAATATCATTCAAAAGAACATAATAATAATAGTTTTTAAATTATTTAAAATTTATTCAACAAAATCATGGATCAAGAACAGCAAGTTTAATCACTTTTTGATAATTAATCAAACTAACAAAAATAATAAGAGCAGAAACCAATTGAGCAAAAACCAATTGAGTAAAAACCAATTGAGTAAAAACCAATTGAGCAGAATAACCCATTCTAATAAATTCCATAATCTTAAATACCTCTAAATCCTTAAATTACAGTAGTACCATAATAATAATACTTATAATTTTAAGAAGTATTTCCAACACCACATTCTAATTAAAATAGGTTTGGAGGTTCTATTAATTTAAGTTAACCACCCTAATAATAATTTTAAATTTAATTCAATCCTTTTTCTTAATAATAACAATATTCTAATGCAAATTTAGGAATGTATTAATAAAATCAGATTAATCCTTTAAATTAAAATTTATTTGGATCACCATTTAATTATTAATAAGCACCATAATAACCAGTTTAGAGTCAATCTAGTTTATTTGGAATGCCCGACGTTCAATATGATAATTTTAAGATCAAATATGATGATGACGAAATGATTGAACCTAAAAAAGAGTAAGTTAAATAATCTAATGAATATAATTTAAATGAGAAAATTTCTTTTGAAATCAAAGCTTTATATAAAATGGGTAAATTACTCAATACTAAATCACAATACTTACCTGGAATAGTTAGCATTAAAGCATAAGAAAAAACTATTTCAGAAAATGATAAAAATGGAAGAGTTGGAGTAGATTTGGTAATTATATTTTTATATTCATTAGATTTGTTTAATTGATGAGAGTGGTAGTATGGATGGATAGAAAATACAAATGGTTAAACAAACTTTATCATTGTTGCTTGATTTTTTGAGTGAAAATGATAGATATCAACTTATCACCTTTGCGTCTTCAGCTAAACGTTTAACTCCATTGAAACGTGTAACAGATTAAAATAAACAATACTTTAAATAAGTTATATCCTAAATTTATTCCGGTGGTGGAACTACTATAGCCTCAGCAACTGAAATAGCTTTTAACTAATTATAATAAAGAAAATATAGAAATAATGTTACATCTATATTCTTACTTTCCGATGGTCAAGACAATTCAGCATTTAATAGCATTCAAACTTAAATAAAATCAGTAAATGAAATTTTTACATTGCATACTTTTGGTTTTGGATAAGATCATGATGCTCCAATGATGACATCAATTTGTAATTTAAAAAGTGGAAGTTTTTATTTTGTCTAAGATGTTACATTATTGGATGAATTCTTTGCAGATGCTTTGGGTGGGCTTATTTCAGTTGTTGGTGAAAATTTAGAAATTAATATTTCCTCTTCGGCACCTGCTCCTTATTAAAACATTTAAATATCCAAAACTTATGGGAATATGTGGAATAAAAAAGGAAATAATATT